TCTGACTCATAGCAAACCCCATAGGGTTTCCAAGGCTGTAAATCTTTATGGAAGCAGATTGCCTATCTTTCTCCTGCAGAGTGGCTGGTAAGTTCGAACCACCAACCTTTTGGTTAGCAACTGAGTGCCTCAATCACTGTACCACCAGAGTTCCTTAGAAATTATTTTACTACATAAAAATTATGTTCCAGGCAAGTTTTTTTGTTTGTTTGTTTTTAATACTCAATGCCTACTTTCTATAAAATAAAATATGCAGTATGTTTTGTGCAATTGGCCTCAAGTGATACAGCACATAAATGCTTTGATAGCAGTTACTAGAAATTATCTAACCAAAACCAAACCAAACTCACTGCCATCAAGTCATTTCCAACTCATAGCAACCCCTCCTGGGGTTTCTGAGGTGGTATCTCTACAGAAGTAGATTGCCCAATCTTCCTTACCAGGAGTGGCTGGTAGGTTTGAATCGCTAGCCTTCTGGTTAGCAGTCAAATGCCTTAGGCACTGTGCCACCAGAGCTCCAAGAAATTATCCAGGTTGTTCCAAAAGTTATATGGAATTTCCCAGATATCCTAATATATACTTTTGGGTAACTTTCTCAGCTACTTGAGGCATGTGCATCTGTTTTAAGCACATTCTGGCAGAATATATATGTTATTATCCATATATGTATCCCACAATTTCAAATGATTGAGACACACACACACACTTCTTTGTGTCCTCCTAAGGGAAAGGAGAAGTGGCCTCTTCCTTCTTCCTAGTCTGTCTCAGTCTCTAAGCTGTGTTGAAACCTGCGCACCATGTGCAACCCTGCTGGCATTTGAAGCACCGGTGGCACAGCCTCAAGCCTCACAGCAATGTGCAAGCCCCACAGGATGACAAACTGACAGACAAGTTTGTCTCCCTTAGCTGTTAGAAACCTCTCCGCCCTCCCCCTACCTAATTCCTACCTGGATCCTGCCACTTTGTGGTCCCTGGCCGCTCCCTCCCTTTCCTGGCTCTTGGGGCTGGGGCCTGACTACCTCCCACCCCTTACCTGGATCCTGCTACTCCTGTGGTCCCTGGCCACTCCTTTCCTTTCCTGGCTCTAGGGGGTTGGGGCCTTGCCTGCCTCTCACCACTTCTCAAAAAATTGGCCCAGGAAAACCTTATGACTAGCAGAGAAACACTGTCTGATACATTACTGGACAACTTTGTGAATAACTTGGAAGCATGGTCCAACACAGTGCAGGAAGACCAGCACCTTCTGTTGGAAAGCATTCAAAATAGGGCTGGGAAAGAGCTGCCACATCAGAGTAGAACCAACCTTAATGATATAGATAACGTAACTCTCAGGACCTCCATGTGCTGACATGGCATGACTCAAATTGAGGAGAAACAACTGCAAACATCCATTAATAATTGGAACATGGAATGTACGAAGTATGAATCTAGGAAAATTGGAAGTTGTCCAAAAATAAATGAAATGTATAAAGATTGATATCCTAGGCATTAGTGAGCTGAAATGCACTGGTTTAGGCCATTTTGAATCAGACAACCATATGACCTACTATGCTGGGAATGACAGTTTAAAGAGGAATGGCATGACATTCATTATCACAAAGGATATTTCAAGATCTGTCCTGAAGTACAATGCTTCAGTGATAGGATAATATCTGTATGCCTATAAGGAAGACCAGTTAATACTACTGTTACTCAAATTTACACACCAACCACCAAAGCCAAAGATGAGGAAATTAAAGATTTTCACCAACTTCTGCAGTCTGAAATTGACCAAACATGCAATCAAGATGTGTTAATTATCACTGGTGATTGGAATGCAAAAGTTGGAAACAAATAAGAATCACCGGTAGTTGGAAAATTTGGCCTTGGTGACAGAAATAACACTGGAGATCGCATGATAGAATTTTGCAAGACCAACGACTTATTCATTGCAAATACCTTTTTTTTTAACAACACAAATGATCACTATACACATATACTTCACCAGATGGAGTACACAGGAATCAGATTGACTACATCTATGGCAAGAGGCAATGGAGAAGCTCAATATCTTCAGCCAAAACAAGGCCAGGAGCTTACTGAGGAATAGACCATCAACTACTCATATGCAAGTTCAACTTGAAGACAATTAAAACAAGTTCATGAGAGCCAAAATATGGCCTTGAATATATCCCTCCTGGATTTAGAGACCATCTAAAGAATAGATTTATGCATTGAACACCAATGACCGAAAACCAGAATTGTGGGATGACATTAAGAGCATTATCCATGAAGAAAGCAAGAGGTTATTAAAAATATGAGAAAGGAAGAAAAGACCAAAATGGATGTCCGAAGAGACTCTGAAACTTGCCCTTGAGCAGAGAATAGCTAAAGTAAATGGAAGAAATGACAAGATAAAAGAGCTGAACAGAAGATGTCAAAGAGCAGCTCGAGCAGACAAAGCCAATTACTATAATGAAATGTGCAAAGACCTGGAGTTAGAAAACCAAAAGGGAAGAACATGCATTTCTCAAGCTGAAAGAACTGAGGAAAAAACTTAAGCCTCGAGTTGTAATAGTGAAAGATTCTATGGGGAAAATATTGAATGATGCAGGAAATATCCAAAGAAGATGGAAGGAACACACACAGTCACTGTACCAAAAAGAACTGGTTGATCTTCATCCATTTCAGGAGGTGTCATATGTTCAAGAACCAATGGTACTGAAGGAAGAAGCTGCACTGAAGGAATTGGGGAAGAACAAGGCTCCAGGAATTGACAGAATATCCATTGAGGTGTTTCAACAAACGGATGCCCTGCTGGAGGCACTCACTCAGTTATGCCAAGAAATTTGGAAGACAGCTACCTGGCCAACTGACTGAAAGAGATCCAAATTTGTACCCATTCCAAAGAAAGGTGATTCCACAGAACGTGGAAATTATCTAACAACATCATTAATATTGCATGCAAGTAAAATCTTACTGAAGATAATTCAAAAAGGGTTGCAGCAGTATATTGACAGAGAACTTCCAGAAATACAAGCTGGTTTCAGAAGAGGATGTGAAACAGGGGATATCATTGCTGATGTTAGACAGATCTTGGCTCAAAGCAAAGAATACCAGAAAGATGTTTACTTGTGTTTTATTGACTATGCAAAAGCATTTGATTGTGTGGAACATAACAAATTATGGATAACATTGAGTAGAATGGGGATTCCAGAACACTTAATTGTACTCTTGAGGAACCTGTACATAGACCAGGAGGCTATTGTTCCAACAGAAAAAGGGAACACTACATGGTTTAAAATCAAGAAGGGAGTGAGTCAGGGCTGTATCCTTTCACCATACTTATTCAATCTGTATGCTGAGCAAATAATCTAAGAGGCTGGACTATATGAAGAGGAACATGGCACCAGGATTGGAGGAAGAATCATTAACAACCTATGATATGCTGAAAGTGAGGATGCTTGCTGAAAGTGAGGATGATTTGAGGCACTTACTGGTGAAGATTGAAGAATACAGTCTGCAGTATGGATTACATCTCAATATAAAGAAAACAAAAATTCTCACAACTGGACCTATAAGCAGCATTATGATAAATGGAGAAAAGATTGAAGTTGTCAAAGACTTCACATTGCTTGTTGTACAATCAATGCCAAGGAAGCAGTCAGGACATCAGATGACGTATAGCACTGGGCAAATCGGCTGCAAAGGACCTGTTTCAAATGCTGAATAGTAAAGATGTCTCCTTGAGGACTAAGGTGCGCCTGACACAAGCTGTGGTATTTTCAATCGCCTCATATGCATCTGAGAGCTGGACAGTGAATAAGGAAGACCAAAGAAGAATTGATGTTTTTGAGTTGTGGTGTTGGCGAAGGATGCTGAAAGTACCGTTGACTGCTAAAAGAACTAACAAATCTGACCTGGAGGAAGTGCAGCCAGAATGCTCCTTGGAGGTGAGAATGGCCAGACTTCGTCTCACCTACTTTGGTCATGTTGTCAGAAGGGACCATTCCCTGGAGAAGGTTGTCATGCTTGGTAAAGTAGAGGGTTGACAGAAGAGGGGAAGGCCCTCAATGAGATGGATTGACACAGTGGCAGTGGCGATGGGCTGAAGTATAGCAAGAATCATGGAGCTCGTGCAGGACCTGGCAGTGTTTCATTCTGCTGTGCATAGGGCACCTAACAACAAGGGAAGGAACGTAAAAGCATTGGCTAGCATTGAATGGGCCTGAGGCAGTGCTGCCTGAGAAACTTCTCAGCCTGCGTAGAGACTTAATATGGTAAAGAGAGAAATTCTCCTACTTCCTACTTTAAGGGGAATCCAAGGGAATAAAAAGTGCTTAGTCATTGTCATTGTTAGTGATCTGTGCCTGCGTGTACCACCACCATATTTGTTCCCTTTTAAAAATTTACCTCAACAAGCTGCTGTCGGCAGTCTTGGAAGCACTTAGCCACAACTGTTCCTTTCCTTGTGCAACAAAGTAAAGCAACCTTTCTTTCCCCAACTTGGTCTTAACAGAGTCACTGAGCAGGACCCGGAGTTCCTGACAACAGACCTGGCCATCTAAATTCTAGAATAAGATCCATAATGTGACATCTCAACATGAGCTGGGTGAGTGAGTCAGTGAAGGAACAAAGCTACATAATAAATTGGCAATCAATAAGGTTGCGGGATTGGAATTTTATTTAGTGATGAAAGTTAAACTAGGGTCTATAGAAAGGAAGCCCCCCTAAAACCAGTAAATGCAGAATCACAAAACTGAAATGGTGTGCATCGAAAAGTAAAATAAACGAATAGATGCCAAGAATGAGTGAGTCACAAGCACATGAGTTGTAAGAGGTTGAACTCAAGAGACCAGATCAGCGAACACTGCTTAATACCATCACATGATGTGCCCCGAGGCCCTGTATTTAATTAAAATAAGGAGGGAGGCTCCATAGAGGCCAGAACACTGTTCTTAGGGGATGGGGCTAGAGGAGTTTAAAGTTAAAACTTGATTGCCTGTCTCTGAGAAATCAGCATGGACTGTGTCTACTATTTCCTGGGATTCCTGCTACTGGCTGCAAGATTGCCACTTGATGTTGCCAAAAGTGAGTAATTCTCAGTTTCTGTGTTTAACCATTCCTGAAGCCACAGGGATAATGATGTCTTCTGAGCCAGAATTCGGACAGCTGCTCCTCAAGATGGCTTCACAGACTCACATGTTTCTTTTGGAAACCTTTGGGAATGCTAAAACTATAGCAAAATGCCACCAGCTTGATTCTTTGCTTCATGTTCATAGAAAGTAAAAACCGTGCCGACCTCTCTTACAGAGCTTTGTTTCCACTGCGATGCACCCTCCTGCCAGACAGCAGGCCTGGGTGAGGGCACGGCCTCTAGCCCCAGAACAAAGCAACCCTCCTGACTAAGCTTTTTCTGGCTTTCTTCCAACAGGGTAGAAACCTCACATGAAATGGGGCCCAAGTCTGGAGACACCCACTCTAATAACCCCAACCCAGAAGCAATTTCTAATCCCACTGCTCTTCACAGACCTGTAGGAACCTGTTGCCGCTAGTGAGGTTACCGAGAGAAAAGCCCAAGCCCTGGTTCCCTACCCAGGTTACACATTACAGGCTGGCAGACTTTAATAGTGTTGAATCTTTGGAGATAGGGCTGGAGCATCCCTGTTTAAAAAGATCCCTTGTGAGGTGAATGCACAGCCAGGGCTGAACTCTGAGCTAGAGCACGGCCCACTCATCCAGTGCAGGGAATGGGTGCTGATAGCAGTCCTTGTCATCCAGGTAAAGTTAGTGTGCAGTGGGAGAGCAAATTATTTGTACATCACCCAGAAAGTCTACCCCACTGCAAAGGAGTAATGACATTCACTACATGAAAAGTCTGTGGGGTTCTAATTCTACCAGACAACTCCTTGGGGAAGAGATCAGCAGAAAGAGGAAACTCTGATACTCAGACCAGACCAGATAGGGGCTGAGAAGGGACCTAGCTCCCACCGTGTGTCACTCACTCTCTATGTGGGCTGCTGCATATAAGAGTAATGTATTACTCTTATAATCTCCACAACCAATTTGTGGAGCAGATTTTCCTCTCCCTCGTCAACGGGTTGAGGAAATGACGAGCCTCAGGTATTGCTTTTCACCTGTTGAGCCCAGGTCTGAGAGAGGAGGATCCTGGACATCGTCCTGGGTGCCGGTGCACATCTTCCTTTCACGCCTTGGTCCTGCGTCAAAGTCCTTTAATCCTGTTGCCCTTGCAGAGTTGGAGGTCTCTGTGTGGTGCAAACTGCTTGTGCTCATCTAATAACCAAAAGGTTGGCGGTTGGAACCCACCCAGCAGCGCTGTGAAAGAAAGGCTTGCAATGTTGTTGTTGTTGTTATTTACCGTCAAGTCTTCCCAGACTCATAGCGACCCCTCCTTGGGTTTCCGAGGCAGTATCACTACAGAAGTAGGATTGCCCAACCTTCCTTCCGAGAAGTGGCTGGTGGGTTTGAACCGCCAGCTTTCTGGTTAGCAGTCAAGTGCCTTAGGCACTATGCTACCAGAGCTCCTAAGGCGTGCAATATGCTTCCCTAAAGATTCCAGCAGGAGCTCTGTAGCATAGTGCCTAAGGCACTTGACTGCTAACCAGAAGGCTGGCGGTTCAAACCCACCAGCCACTCCTCGGAAGGAAGGTTGGGCAATCCTACTTCTGTAGTGATACTGTCTCGGAAACCCAAGGAGGGGTCGCTATGAGTGGGGTCCGACTCAGAGCACATAACAACACAACAAAGATTCCAGCAGAGACAACCCTACAGAGCTCGGTTCTACTGTGTGACATATAGGGTGGCTATGAGTCCCAGTCCACTTTAGGACAACGGGTTTGGTTTGTTTTTTGCAGTGTTGGCTCAGTGGCCATGTGCTGGTACGGAGAGGAAGTGTAGTGGAGCCCAAAAAAGGCCCGTGCTCCTCAGTACAATTGGAGGGTGGGGTGGGGTGGGGCTGGAGAGGCAAAGGAGAGTAAGGGTGGGAACCAGAGACTGAGGAGGAGGAAGCGGGCCAAGTGGGGCGGGCGGCGGAAGCGGCGGGGTGGGAGCCTGGGGCGGCTGAGTAAAGGGATTGGTGGGGGAGGGGGAGTGAAGGAAGCTGGAGGGGCGCGGTCACTTCTGCTCCGAGCTACTGAGGCAGGAGACTCGGGTCAGGACCCTGGCCCGGAAGACCCCACACGCGCACACCAAGACCCTGCTATCTCCTAGTTTCCGACTGAGGCTTACAGAAGATTCCCCCTTTTAGACATGGTAGTCCAAACACAGAAATGCAGGGAGCTGGTTCCAGGGTTTGGAGAACCGCGCCCGTGCCCTGCAAAGGAAACTGACTACCCGGTGATCTGTGCCTGCGGGTGCTGCTGTGCCTTAAGCGTCCTCCGGGCAGCCTCGGGACGCTTCACTGTGATTTTCCCGTTTCACAGAGGAGAAATGGGCGATGAGAGGACAAGTAACCCGCCCCAGGCCACACAGTTGGTAAGCAGGAGAGATGGCCTTCCATCCCTTCTACCAGTGTTTGGAGTTGCACCAACTTGGGTTCCCTGCCAGCCGTGGGATCGACCTACAAGAGACTTAATTTCGTTGGTTGTGTTTTCGTTTCCTCATTTGCAAAACTGGGTAAAAAGGTTCTTGTGAGACGTGTGAGATCAACTAACAAAGTTCTGGGTATGAAAGGTTGTAAGCTGCATGTAGCCCCTGACTCACGGCTACCGTGTTGTTGGCCAAGTGGGACTACTCCACAGGGTATTCTTGGCTATGATCTTCATGAAAGCAGATTGCCAGGCCTTTCTTGAGAGGCACCACTGGGTGGGTTACAGGTGTAACTGTTCCTTGACATGGTGCATACCACTTGTGCCACCTAGGCTCTCATGGGATAGGTACATGGTAGTAATTGTTACTGTCCTGACAGACCTGTACCCCACTCTCCTTGCACCTCCCAGGATAGACTCCCTTAGAGTCTGCAATCCCAGCAGACAGAGGGACAGAGAATTGGCAGGTCAGTGGAAGATGGGACACCCTGTTCTAGGCCACCATCCCTCTGCCATCCTCACTTTGTTCTGCTCAGTAAAGCAGATTAGCCAGAGGTGGAATCCTGGCTATTGGCGTGAGAGGAGCCCCCAACCCATTAAACTCTGTGACAAAATCTGGACATTCTTGACTTGACTTTGCCCCAACTAAATGTTCTGGCCAAGAAAAATAAGAACCCATAGGACCTATGTATCAAACACCATGAGATTGTTTGCCATACATCCTGCGTTTTCTGCTCATAACCCCTATATACAGAAGGAAGGAGGCGTTGACAGACGGTTTACAAGCAGTCCCAGCCACTACCTCTCTGCTCTGAACAGAGGATTTCTATGACTTTTCTCTCTACTTCTCATAGAAATGCTGGGTGTGACTCCGTATTTACATTCACATCCATTTCTCCTTTTTCTTTTTAAGTATGCTTACTATTGGGTTTGTTTTATTTTAAATTAAACATTTTATTTTGAGGTAATTGTAGATTCACCTGCAGTTGTAAGCAATTACACAGAGAGATCCCATGTACCCTATCCCAACGGTGACATCTTGCAAACAATAGCACGATTTTCACAACCAGGATATTGACATTGATACAGTCAAGACATAGAACATTTCCTTCACCCCAAAGATTCCTCATGTTCCCCTTTTATATCCATAACCATTTCCTTCCCTCCCCACCAACCCCTGGCAACCCTAGTCTGTTCTCCATTTTTATAATTTTGTCACCTCAATAATGTTATATAAATGGAATCCTACAATATATAAAGCTTTGAAATTGGCATTTTTCACTAAACATAATTTCCTGGAGATTCATCCAAGTTGTTCGTGTATCAAAGGTTTGTTCCTTTTTTATTGCTGAAGAGTACTCCATGGTATGGATAACCATTCATCCCTTGGGGACATCTGGGTTATTTCCAATATAGGACTGTTACGAATAAAGCATCTGTGAATATTCATGTTCAGACTTGTATGTGAACATAAATTTTCATTTCTGAGGAATAAATGTCTACAAGTACAATTGGGCATTGGCATGGTAATTCCATTTTTAGTGTTATAAGAAACTCCTACTCTGTTTCTAAGAGTGACTGCCTTATTTTACTTCACACCAGTAATATCTGAGAGATCCAGTTTCTCTGCATTATCTCCATTTGATGTCACTATTGTTTTGTTTTAGTCATTCTGATAGTTGTGCAGTGCTTGTTATTGTGGTTTTGACGAATGCTTCCTAAATGGCTATCCCCTTTGGTAAAATATCTGTTCATGGTCTCGTGTCTGTTTTCTAATTGGATTGTTAGTTTATTTGACTGTGAAAATTCCTTATATATTTTAGATACAAGTCCTTTGTTGGGTTTGTGGTTTGCAAATATTTTCTCCCTATCTGTAGCTTGTTTTTTCACCCATTTTATATGGTCTTTCATAGAGCAAAAGTTTTTTTAATTTGATGAGATCCAGTTTGTCAGTTTTCCCTTTCATGGACCATGGTTTTGGGGTCAAGTCTAAGAACTCTTTGCCTAGCCCCAGATTCTGAAGATTGCCTCCTATGCTTTTTTCCTAAAAGTTTTACATTTTATATTTAAAACTCAGGTCCATTTAACTTAATTTCTATAGAGGGTATAAGGTTTAGGTCAAATTCATTTTTTTTTGCCTATGAATTGACTGCTAACCAGAAGGCTGGTGGTTCAAACCCACCAGCCACTCCTCAGAAGGAAGGTTGTTGGACAATCTACTTGCATAGTGATACTGCCTCGGAAACCCAAGGATGGGTTGCCATGAGTTCCAGTCCAACTCGATGGCACATAAGAACGATAACAACATGGATGACCAGTTGTTCTAGCACCATTTATTGAAGAGGCTATCTTGCCTCCATTTAAATGATTTTGCACCTGTGTAAAAAATCACTTTGGTGTGTGTGTGTACATCTCTTTCTGGGTTCTCTGTTCTGTTCCATTGCCTTATGGATCTATCCCTTGTCATCCTCTTTTTTATGTTTGTATTTTTCCTTGATTTCTGACATTTAAAATCAGAGGAGAAATCTGTATGTTGGTTGTGTTTCTGCAAACAGTGACTTTCAATGAGAAGCTGAAGAAGAGGGAGACTCAGGAACAGTAGAAAGAATTGGATCTGGGCTTCAGATGTGTGAAGGTTCATTTTTGTTTGATTAAAGGCGACCCTGGGAGAATCATATCACTTCTGTAGGCCTGAATTTCTTCATCTATAGAATGAATGTGTTTGAACTGAACAATCTACGTTCTCTTGTGATTAAACACCCTATGACTCAATTCAAGTGAATTTCCAATTAAAAATATATATCTATTAACATACATTTCTTTCCCTCACTTAGTATCTGTGTCTAAGTAGGAACAATCTCACAGAATCACAGGGCATTTGGTTTTTGTCTGATTTGAAGGCCCAGGGAAGACGTGTGGCCGAGTTTTATAGAAACCATTTTGAGACTCCTGGTTCAATGTTCTTCCCCTGTAAGAACAGAGCAACATGCTGCTCCCTCTTCTACTAGACATAAGAAAGAGGTTAGGTGGAATTCATCCAATATGACTCAAAGAGAGCACCTCATAATACCAACCTTGTGGGAGGCCTCTTCCAAGACTTAAAAGAAGACAGAGTCTCTGGCCTCTAGTCTCTAGGAGTTCATAGCAAGTCAAGACATAAGACCATGAAAATTGATGAGAGGACAATTGAAGGCAGTATATAATTAGGGGATAAGGAACTCTGACAGTGCTGTGGTCAAAGTATTGCGCTGTTAACCAAAAAGTTGGCAATTTGAACGTACCAGCTGCTCCACGGAGACAGATGAGGCAGTCTGCTTCTGTAAAGATTTATAGCCTTGGAAACCCTATGGGGCAGTTCTACTCTGCTTTTAGCTGTGAACCCAAATATGTTAAAGAGTAAGACAGTTTCTGTTTCATACAATCAGTCCAGAGGCGGCAGGGCTAGCGCAGCAGCTCAAGAATGTCACCAAAGACTCCGTTTCTTTCATCTTTCCACAATGCCACCCTGATGTGCTGCTTCCTCAGATTTGTGCTGATGGTTAAATGTTGCAGCCACAGCTCCAGGTATCACATCATACACTACCATCTCTAAAATCAATTTTGAAGGGGAGAAATGGAGTTTATTCTCACACGTCTCTTGTTATGAATTAGCAGTACATTTCCCAGAAGCCACCTGCATACTTCCTCTCAGTTTCAGTTAGGATTTCATTATGTGCTCCTGCCCAAACTTTAAGGGGACCTGGGAAAGTAAGACTGTGGAATTTGGAACTGTTATAGTAGAAATTCTGCCAATAAAGAGGAAAAAAAAAAAAAAAGAGGAGGGAGAGAGGCATACAAAGGTGTGGTCCAGTTCTCAAAGAAGGGAGAGACTATGTGACTACCAGAGTCATCAGGTAAAAAATCAAACATCATCTCAAGATTAGAAAGAATTTTAAAAGGAGTAGTATATTATAAATACTAGAACAACCACTAAAACAAAATTTTAAAAAAAACCAAACCCCAAAACTAATAAGCCAATGCTGTCATTGTGCCATCGAGTCCTCTCTGACTTACTCATCTCCATAGGTTGCCAAGGCAGTATCTCTACAGAAGTAGATTGCCCAGTCTTCCTTCCCAGGTGTGACCGGTGGGTTTGAACCTCCAACCTTCTGGTTAGCAGTCAAGTGCCTTGAGCACTACGCCAGCCGAGCTCCCAATAAGCCAATTGTTGTTGTTGTTGTTGTTATGTGCCGTCGAGTCGGCCCCGACTCATAGCGACCCCTCCTTGGGTTTCCGAGGCAGTATCACTACGGAAGTAGGATTGCCCAACCTTCCTTCCGAGGAGTGGCTGGTGGGTTTGAACCGCCAGCCTTCTGGTTAGCAGTCAACTGCTTTTAGCCACTATGCTACCAGAGCTCCTAATAAGCCAATAGTGGAGCTAAAATAGAATGAAAAAAAATCCCAAAAAATTGCAGGAGAAGAAGATAAAAGGAATAAAGAAATCATCAGACAAATAGGAGCAAATAGCAAGATGCTAGCTTTAAACCCACAATATCAGTAATTAAATGTAAATTATGCAAGCACTGCAGATAAAAGGCACAGATTGTCAGGCTAGATAAATATCCCAAACCAAAAAGCCCATTGTCATCAGGTGGATTCCAACTCATAGTCACCCTTTAGGACAGAGTAGAACTACCCCATAGGGTTTCCATGGATGTAATCTTTACGGGAGCAGACTGCCACATATTGCTCCCTCAGAGCTCTGGCAGAACACTGGTGGGTGCCAACTGCAGGCCTTTCAGTTAGTGGCAACTGCTTTAACCACTGTGCCACCAAGACTTGAAAATAACTACCAACCAACTTGACATAAATGGTACACATGTCCATGGAGCATTCACCAAGACAGACTGTATGCTGGGCCATGAAAAAAATTAGATTGTTCAACAGTGGACTGGATACGTGTCTCTTAGGATCCTGGAGCCATTCCTGTGTCTGGCTTTCCTTTGACTGAGTGAACAATTCAGAATGGAAGAAGTAGAAAAACTGATTTGAAGATCACTAGTATCAGTGTTTGCCTAGTGATATTGCATCAAATTCCAAGTATTCAAAGGATATATTGAGAAACTAAATAATGGCTAAGAAATACTCTCACTCATACTCACTGCTGTTGAGTCGATTTCAACTCCTAGTGACCCCTCCTTGGGTTTCCAAGGTGGTATCTCTATGAAAGTAGTTTGTCCAGTCTTCTGAGGAGTGGCTGGTGGGTTTGAATACTAGCTTTCAAATTTTTTCTTAAAGTACATAAAGAGAGAGAATCTGAATGCTTGCATTCAAGATATAACCAGTATCTTGTTTAAGAAGCACTTTTGTTTATTTGATAAAGGGGCCCTGGTGGCCCACTGATTAAGTGCTCAGCTGCTAACCAAAAGATGAGCACGTTTGAATCCACCAGACACTCCACAGGAGAATGACGTGGCACTCTGCTTCCATAGAGATTACAGCCTTGGAAACACTGAGGCAGTTCTGCTGTGTCCTATAGGGTCATTCTGAGTTGGAATCATCAGCAATAGGCTATTTACTTGACATATTGGAAATGTTATGCATATGGTTTCCAACCTTGCAGAATCAACGTTCCTTTCGCTGTTGTTAGATAAGTACCGAACGAGGAATACAGTAGACAATTAATTTGTTTTTCAAATATTGATACAGGATTCCATGAAGTACTGAGCAATGAAAGACCTTCTGCTTATATGAGGAACCACAACCAATTAAATGGCTGGTCTTCAGATGAAAATGATTGGAATGAAAAGCTCTATCCAGTGTGGAAACGGGGAGACTCTAGGTGGAAAAACTGCTGGAAAGGTAAATGACAAGATCCAACCCAAACCACGATCATTTCCTATTTAAGTAACTCTTGAGATTGATGAGCCTGTTAGATCACGTGAGAGCACTTTAGTTACCAAGCGGGATGGCACCTGGATTTGGAAATCTTCCCTATATGCCAATATTATCACTTCCTAACCCATAGGACGGGAGCTCTGGTAGCATAGTGGCTAAGGCACTTGACTGCTAACCAGAAGCCTGGTGGTTCAAATCCACCAGCCACTCCTTGGAAGGAAGATGGGGCAATCTACTTCCGTAGTGACACTGCCTCGGAAACCCAAGGAGGGGTCGCTATGAGTTGGTCCGACTCGACGGCACATAACAACAACAAGAACACAACCCATAGGACGATGTTTAATTTCCTAGAAATGTTCATTTTGGTAGCTCTTGGAATAATTTGGAAAATGAGTAGTTTTAACCTTAAACTTTCTGATCTGTGGTTCCAAAGCATTTTACCATCTTAGAGTTGCAGTTGATGAGAAAACAAATTATCTCTCAATGTACATAGAAGATTGAGTCCTTCAGTGAATGGTTTGAGATTAAAAAAAAAACAAAAAGACCCCACAAACCTTTAAAACTTGACTCCTCAATCCAATTAAGCAGAAATTCTATTATTGCAAATAAATATTCTTTCTGTGATTAGAGAATTATTTAACTGGTTTAATTTGCATTTTTTAAAATTCATCTTTTTAAAAGTTGTACTCTGAGAGCTGAAATTAATAGGAATCCAGAAAATAAATTTAATGTATTATAAAAGGGGATTTGGGTCCTATAGTCTTTATTAGTAGACTTAATTTTTCTTTAAATGTTTTTTGTTGGTGGAAGGAGAAAGAGATGCTCCATCATTGACCTCCATTTTTAATGTCCTAGGAGGCTGTGTACGGGCAGTCCTGACCAGTGATTCCCCAGCACTGGTGGGCTCAGATATAACATTTGTGGTGAATCTAGTATCCCCCAGATGCCAAAAGGAAGATGCCAATGGCAACATAGTCTATGAGAAGAACTGCAGAAATGGTAAGGAATATTATTCATGTCACAAGAACATGAGTTGATTTTGTTTTTTAAAATTTTTTTTGTGACTAGGGTGAATGTTTACAGAGCAAATTCATTTCCATACAGCAGTTCATATGCATTCTGTTTCATGACATTGACTGCAGTTCCCCACAGTGTAACAGCTCTCTTCCCACTTCCTCCCTGTAGCCACCTCTTCCCTGTGTCTTTTGCTATGCGTTCCTGCCCCCTGAGCTATCTTCCTATGCAAATACTGCCCTTCTATTCTCCCATGATTGATCATTCTAAAGAGTATATCTACCTGGTATAAATATTCACCCTATATGCCTGTTTATTGTTTGACTGGAAGCCATGGGAATGAGTTCGGTTCCAGACCTGAAAGGTAACTAGGGGCCATAGTCTTGGTGGTCTTACCAGAATCTATCAGACCAGTAAACCTGGTCTTTATTATTATTGCTATTATTTTCAGTTTTGTTCCACCTTGTTCTCCCACTCTATCCAGAATCTCCTGTACTGATCACTTTCCAAGTTGTTGATGATGGTAGCCAGGCACCATCTAGTTCTTCTGGTCTCATGGTCACATAGGCTGAGGTTTGTATGGTCTGCTAGTTCTTTGGACTAATTGTTTCCACATGTCTTTGATTTTCTTCATTCTTCTTTGTTCTGGACAAGGATAGACCCATTGTTGGATCTAGATGACATCTTGCAAGCTTTTAAGACTCCAGTCACTACTCACCAAAGTAGGGTACAGAACAATGTTTTTGTGTAGTATGTTATGCCAGTAGAGCTGGATGTCCCCTGTGACCATGATCTTGAGCTCACAGGTCCAACAACTCACTCCATCAGGGTGGTTGACTGTTCCTAAGAAGTTATCATGACTTTGCCCCATTAGTTCTAGTTATATAGACATTCTTACAGCACATACAAATAGGTAGGTAGAAATATCATCTGCCCAACCTTATATATGGTTATGATTATATTCCCTTTTACCTAGACATACCTGATCATTCAGCCTGTCTACCTATCTATTCACCCATAGATGAATGTTTGTTATCACTGATAACACAGTATTTATTGTATGTGTAAAAGGGTTTATCTTTTTTTACTGTACCTCTTGGGCACTTCTCTGTGTCTTCCTTTTCCTTAGTGTTATTGTGTTAGTCAATTGCTTTTGGTAAATTGCTTTTCCCTTCACTCAAATCAATACTTGTCTCTACCTATCTAGCAGTGTTCACTCCCATCCCCTCCCTTTCCTGGTAACCAACAAAGAAAGTTTCCTTCCATATATAAACCTTTCCTTGACTTTTACAATAATGTACTAATATAATATTTGTCCTTCTGTGATTGACTTATTTCAGTTGGAGGACATTATTTCTCTAAGTTCATTCACGTTATGTGGTATTTCACATATTCTCATTATTCTTTACTGTTGCGTAGAAAAACACGGGTTTTGTCTTACAACAACTGGAGACCCATCTCATTAACCTCAGTGCTCACAAGTATTTTTGTAAGGGTCAGATGCTGCTATTGTCCTTCCATACTGTCCTCCTGAAATTGCATGAGAGGGTCAAGGAGAGAATAGTTCTACCCAGTAGCTACATCAACATCAGTCAAACCTACCACAACAAACTGTGGCTGTCAGCTGCTTGAAAGTCTCTTCAAAAGCCATGTTGTCATATCCAGCTTTATCTTAGCATACAGTGGCATATACCTCATTGATTCTCAGATTATGGCTTTATTATGTGAATTCTCAAGTAATAAAAAATAGCCAATTTAACAGATTTTTGTTGGTCATTTTAATTTCTGTTCATGAGTATTAAGCAAATGCTGTATGGCTAGCACAAATGCTAAAGGGTGTATATGTTGTGTTGTTTTGGTTTTAGTTAAAGCAGATAACTTCTTTATACATGTTAAAGAGCACAAATGAGCACATTTAAATTATCCGGTTAAACTGTACATTCTCTAAAAAAAAAATAGAGCTAGTTACTGAGATTTTGCTGATTGAAAACTATTAAATGTACTTATAGTCTGACTAAATATTTCATTATTTAGAGCTTCTATTAAACTGTTGATGTGTCTGTTCCTTATCACTTTATCACCTTCCCATGAGGAAAACGTTACATTCTGTGTGGAAAGGGTTTGATATCTAAAAAGTATTAAGTACTTAATATTTTGTAGCATTTTTTCCCTCTTTCTTCTTTTCCAAAAAAACCTGACTCTTATAAATGTTTCAAGTGACATTCAAGCCATCTGAGTACTTTTATAGTGATAGAGTACTTGTGATATATGAAAATCTTTATAAAATAGCCATCACCACTAAAAGGAACTCGAGCTCTTTGAAGAAGTGACTGAATCCAAGTCTAAGGCAGAAAAAGGACCAGGTGAGCCTGGGGTACCTTATTGTGCCAAGAAATAAAGAAGTTCTCAAACTAATGGTGTCATGTCGAAAGGACACAGGAGCCAGCTTGAAAGGGCTTCCACTGGCCATATTTGGGACAATGTAGGAATCAAAAAAGAATAATGATATAATACATTGATGAAAACGACTCTTCAAAAAAAACTCAGTGACTATTGCCTAATGTGTAATAAAAAAAAATTGGAAATAAATAGTGATGATGGTTGTATAACTTTGTGAATATAATTAATGCTACTGAATTACACACTTTATAATGGTTAAAATGACAAATTATATGTTGTATATTGTGGTGTAATAAATTACATGATATGGCTTATCTAGACATAGTATTTGTACCTCCCACTTTGCTGTGAATAACAGTAGCTGCTGTTAAAGTCATCCACCTGGAGCAACAGAAAGCAGTCTTCTGGGAAGTTCGCTCTCTCCCAGGCGTATAGAATTCTGATGTTGGGCTTGGTTAGTTTGGCCACTCTGCCAAGCTCAAAAGGAGCCCTCCTAGAGGCAGAAAGTGTCTCTCTGACTGCTGGCTGAGAAAGAGGTGCTGCTGAGAGAGATGTGAGGGACATGCACTGTTGAGTGAGAGATGTGCTACTGAGAGAGACTGTCAGCTGAGAGACAGGCAGCTGAGAGAGACTGAGTACACTCCTGAATGTAAATTGTAGCCTGTTGCTTCCCTAAGAAACCCCAAAATATGTGAGTTTTGTGTGGCCACTACAGTGAATTATTGAACCCAGCAGAGAGGTGGTGGGTACCATGGGAGGAACAGTTGGTGTCAAGGTTAGTAGGAGGGCTGGAGGGTGGCAGCATGTCTGGCTTCATAGGAGCAGGCATTGGGCTGCTGATGGTGATTCTGTCCTCCTCTTGTGTAGTTAGAGGAGGTCAGAAGATGTGGCCTCCCTGCCCCTTTAGCATATATATTTTACCACAATAATGATAAAAAAAAAAAGTCAGTTCCATGAAACACAAGAGGGTGGAAAGATTGTTCTAGATGAAAAGTTATTGATCATGGCTTGTTTAAAATGAAAAATTTCATACATAAAGAAAAGTAGAAAGTAGAGTACGTTGAGCAACTAAATACCCTTTACCTGGATTTAACAGTTAGCCATATTTGTGCATTCTTTTCTGGGTCATTTGAAGAGATATAATGGCCAAATGTAGTGTGAAAAATTAGTCTGTGGTGGGGGTGGTAATGGGTTGTGGTTTGGTAGGAGAATGCTCTCATTCTTAGGAAATGCATGCTGAAGTGTTTGGAAATAGAGAGTCATTATGTCAAATGATTTGGAAAAAAAGATAGAAAGAGTATATCAAAATAAAAAGACAAAGCATCCTTCAGTTTGATTTGAATAGTTTTGTGATTTGGTGACCCAATGTTATTGGGAAAAAAAATATTGTATTGAGTAGTATCTCCAAATTAAACTTACCCAGAATAACTGCTTTATATAAAACTTTTTATTGAAATATAACATATATGCAGAAAAGTATACAAGTTACAAATGTACTACCTGATGAATTCTGAATATTAGATTTTTAATTGTCCAACTAAATTTAAACTGGTTATGAGGTTTCTCGTCATTGGACATTTTAAGTCCAGATACTAATCATGATTTGCTTCTTTCTCTGTTTAGATACTGATTTGTCTCCTGACCCATATGTTTACAACTGGACAGCCTGGACAGAGGATGGTAACTGGGGAAATGGCATAGACCAAAGCTATTACAATGTTTTCCCTGACGGAAAACCTTTTCCTTACCCGCCTGGATGGAAGAAATGGAATTTTGTCTACATCTTCCACACACTTGGTAGACTTTTTATTTTATTTTTTTCATATTTCTTCTTGATTCAATCTACTTCAACATTTACAGAAATATATCAGTATTGATTGGTATCAGTACATCATTATCAACCCATCAATATAACCTCCATTATCTGCTTCAAATGGCCATTTAATTGCTCTCTAAACTCCACTGGTAATTCAGATAATTTTGTCCCCATAACAAAATAATTTTCTATCTTATCTCCTCTGGGCACATTGAAATATATTTGGTTGAATGCATGCATAGACAACAATTGTCCTTTCTTTCACAGCCAACGGTCATATTCTAGACCAACTGTAGATGTTGAAGGAACAAATGAATTCTTTAAAATCTACACGTGTGGTTGGACTTTTCCAAGTTCTCTTAGCCTTTTCCCTGCACTATTAGTTATCTAGTGTTGCTATAACAAATACCACAAGTAGGTGGCTTTAACGAGCAGAAATTGATTTTCTCACAATTTTGGAGGCTAGAATTCCAAATTCAGGGTGCCAGATCTAGGGGAACCTTTTTCTGTCAGCTCTGGACGAAAGTCTTTGCTTCTTCTGAGCTTCTTTCTGCTTCTGGGTAATCTTCATGTGGCTTGGCATCTCTCTTCCCCATCTCTGCTTTTCACTTATTTGTTTAATTTCTTTTATATTTTAAAAGAAATTGACTCAAGAACACCCTATACTAATCTTGTCTCAGCAACATAACAAAGACAATTCATTCCCAAATGGGTTATAATCACAAGCAGAGAAACTATGATTTATAACATATCTTTTGGGAACAGAATTCAATCCATAACAACTACCTATCTTTACATTTTCTTCTCTTTTCTTATTCTATAATTGAGAATTTTAGTACTGAGAATATAACAACAGTTCCTTTGTTAATTTTCCTTAGTTTGGGTGGAGGGTGGAGGATAAAAATAAAATCTTGGTTAGCCTTGCCAAATCCCAAGGACATCAAAGAATTAAACTAAGAAAAAAAAGTGTATTTTTTTAAAACAAAAATACTCAATTTTTTTTCCTGTCTAAAATAGTAATATGAAAAAAATGGTAACATTTATTTATTTGAATGCCCATGAATGGGCATTTTTAACTCATTAATTTTTTATGTTTTTAAAAGAAATTTTTTAAATTAAGGAAATTTAACATAGTACCTAAGGCATTTGACTGCTAACCAGAAAGCTGGAGGTTCAAACTCATCAGCCACTCCTCGGAAGGTTGGGCAACCTACTTCCGTAGAGATACTGTCTTAGAAACCCAAGGGGAGGTGTTGGTAGGAGTTGAATTGACTCAATGGCAGTGAGTTTGGTTTTTAGTTTTAAAGAAATTTATGCTCTTGTAGGAAATTTGGAAAATGCAGAAAAGTGCAAATAAAAGATAAAAAGATAAAAATTATCAGAAATTAACAACAGAGATTATCATTGTTACCATGGTAGTGTTTTCTTTAGAAATATTTCTTGTAATGTGTACAAATTTTTGCTTACCATCATGAGCATTTGAGTATGTCTTTAAAATTTCTTTATACATATTATTTTAATGGCTGCATAATATTCCATTGTGTAGAAATAAAATAATCTAACTGTTCCAGTCTTCTCTGATACAGTCTACCCTCTTACCTTTTTATTTTTTAAAATCACAAGTGGCACTCATTTAACTTTATTATTGTTGAAGGAATTATTTTTAGAAAGAGCAAAATTAGGTTATTAGCAAGACTTTTATGTTCTTGGTTTAAAATGTCACCAGATGACAAGTATTTTAAAACTCCTACCAATAGAGTAGCTCCAAATTTCTAAATGGTTTTGATTTCATAAATTATACAAAGTGCCTCTTTCTTTTACTTTTTTATACATAAACTTTATATATATATATTTATCTCAAAGAAATGGTTTACATGGTTGCAGAGTCTGGCAAGTCCCAAATCCGTGGGTTAGATGTCAGACTGGAGGCTTCTCCTAACTCATTTGGCTGCAGGGGCTGATGAACCCAATTGGTAAGTCAGAAGGCAGGCTACTGGTTCACAGGCTGCAGAGGCTAACAAATCTCTAGAGCAGCAAGCAATACGGCAGGCCACTGGCTCAAGTCCTAAGAATCAGAGGTCAAATGATGCGAGCTCAGTACAGGATCCAAAGTGAGCAAAAAGCCAGAGAGCTTTGCCAGAATATGCATACATATTGGATATAGGCCATACTTCCCAGGAAACTTCCTTTCAACTGAATGGCTGCTCATAACAGATTGCATTCTGGAGGTAATTACCTTATATTAGGTCTCATTATGGAAGTGATTACATTATGTCAGATCACAAAATGGGGGATGACTATATCATTACATAACTGCCAAACTACGTCATAACTGCCAAACCACTGAGAATCATGGCCCAGCCAAGTTGACACACAACCTTAACCATAACATTCACCCCTTGTCAATTTGCAGTGCCTGTTTCTTAAATTATTTACAAGTCCAAACAAAATGTGAATGATACCTATCAGTTGCTTTAAAATTGACTTCTTTTACCATGACATCACATCCCTGTCAGTCAACTCAATATATGTCATGATTTCTTTGACCTGTCACTCCCACGACAGAATTCTGACAATTTGCATAAAGTGACTTTCACTCGCTAATATTCCAGTTTCTTTTTAGAAACAGCCGGTGGGTTTGGACTGCCATCATTTTGATTAGCACCCTAATGCTTTAACCACAGCACCACCAGAGCTCCTTATAAATATATAAACCAAAAAAACTATACTCACTGCCATCAAGTCAGTTTTGACTCATAGCGACCCCTGTGGGGTTTCCGAGGCTGTAAATCTTTACAGAAGTAGATTGCTCCATTTTCCTTTCATGGAGTGGCTGTTGGGTTTAACTACCAGGCTTCTGGTTAGCAGTCAAGACGACCAGAGCTCCTTATAGATATATGTTGTTGCTGTTGTTGTTATGTTCCGTCAAGTCGGACCCGACTCATGGTGACCCCTCCTTGGGTTTCCAAGGCAGTATCACTACAGAAGTAGATTGCCCCATCTTCCTTCTGAGGAGTGGCTGGTGGGTTTGAACTGCCAGCCTTCTGCTTAGCAGTCAAGTGCCTTAGGCACTATGCTACCATAGGTCCCTATAGATATATAGTATATATAAATATAGATAGAAAACCAAAACCACACCTGTTGCTGGTTCCAATTCATGGTGACCCCATGTATTACAGAGTAGAATTGTTCCATAGGGTTTTCTTGGCTGTAATCTTTGCAGAAGCAGATTGCTAGGCCTTTCTTCCATGGTACTGCTAGGTGGGTTTAAACTGCCAACCTTTAAGTTCGGAGTCAAGGGAAAACCATTTATGCTACCTTGGGCCCTAAATATATACATAGATGTTGTTGTTGTTGTTATGTGCCATTGAGTTGGCCCCGACTCATAGCAACCCCTCCTTGGGTTTCTGAGGCAGTATCACTACGGAAGTAGGATTGCCCAACCTTCCTTCCGAGGAGTGGTTGGTGGGTTTGAACCGCCAGCCTTCTGGTTAGCAGTCAAGTGCTTTAGCCACTATGCTATCAGAGTTCCATATACATAGATAGTTATAGTAAATAAGGTAGATTTTTTCAGTAAATAAATTTAACTCCTCTGGACACTCCACCATTACAATAATTGTTTTTTACAGAGAAAAAAAAAATTTTCTAAATCACTTTCTTATAAAGAGTATTTGATTAAAAACTAAAGACCGGGTGTATTATCCCAATAAACACATCATAATCATATTAATCAAATATATACAATTACATTTCTGTACCAACCTCATTCTTTTTGGCATCCCTCCTCACCTTGAGACGAAGGGACAGTTCTGTTGGAAGTTGTAGCACAAAGAGGCGCCTCTCAGAGGATTAGTTATAAATAAGGAAAATGTTAGCTCTGATACTGAGAGATGAAGCCATAGAGGCAACATTAGTTGAGGAAGAGTATCAGTTAATTCTTAGACTTCAGGGGAAGATGGAAATTCAAAACAGTCTTGTTAGAAAAACAGCAATTTCTAGGCAAAGGCTGATTCAAATAAAGACATTTTACGTTAATGGAATGTTAACTTGGCTAAAAAGAAACTGAAGTGTTAGTGAGTTACCTTGTGGCTTTGTAAGATTTTATATAGAAATGAGCACTAAGCCATCTTCTTTCCTAAAACAGCCAGGACTATATTCACATCCTGTTTTTTCCATCCCCAGAGCAGTCTTTTCTAAGTGGTGGTCAGTAGTCTTTAAGAAAGAACCGCGGTATTCTAGAACAATGTGATACAGCCAATAACTGAAAAATTCCATCCTCTTAAAGGTCAGTATTTCCAGATATTAGGACGATGTTCGGTGAGAGTTTCTATAAACACAGCCAATGTGACACTTGGCCCTCAACTCATGGAAGTGATTGTCTATAGAAGACACCGGCATACATTTGTTCCAATTGCAAAAGTTAAGGACCTGTATGTGGTAACAGGTGAGTGAACAATAAATTAACTGAGAATAAAGTACATCATACAAGTATTGTTAACTCTTAGAGAGAGTTAGATTAGGACTCACGTGGGACTTCTTCCCAGATTTATACAATTAATTATGTTGTATTCTATCCACGTTTTCCAGAATAACTTAGGAAAATTAGAAAAATTAAATATAAGGGAAAATGATGTTGAATAATCTTTCATTTTAATTTTTTTAATCTCAAAACATCATTGAAGTCATCCACTTAACATTAAGCAGTCAACAACAGCAAGAGTTTTTAAAAAGAAGAAAAAAAATAAAAGCAATCATGCATTCTTTCTCTTTTTTTAAATGTATCTTTTAGATCAGATCCCTATACTTGTGACTATGTCCCAGAAGAATGATCGAAATTCATCTGATGAAACCTTCCTCAAGGACCTCCCCATTAAGTTTGATGTCCTGATTCATGATCCTAGCCATTTCCTTAATGAGTCTGCCATTAAATACAAGTGGAACTTTGGGGATAATACTGGTCTGTTCGTTTCTAATAATCACATTTCAAATCACACGTATGTACTGAATGGAACCTTTAGCCTTAATCTCACTGTGCAAGCTGCAGTGCCTGGACCTTGTTCTCTGCCTTCATCCAGGCCTCCAAAGCCCGACCCTTCTTTAGGTGAGCATTTTTTAAAAAATTTTTATTGTGATTTGGATAAAAGTTTACAAAGCAAATTCATTTTCCGTACAGCAGTTCATATACATTTTGCTTCATGACATCAACTTCAATTCTCCACAGTGTAACAGCTCTCTTCCCACTTCCTCCCTGTAGCCACCTCTTCCCTGTGTCCTTCTTTCCTATGCAGTCCTGCCCCCTAAGCTGTCTCCCTGTGCAAATACTGCCCTTCTGTTCTCCTATGATTGATCATTCAAAGGAGTGTATCTACCTGATGTAAATGTTCACCCTATGTGCCTGTCTATTGTTTGGCTGGAAGCCACACAAGTAAGTTCAATTCCAGACCTGAAGGGTAACTAGGGGCCATAGTCTCGGGGGTCTCATCAGGCTCTATCAGACCAGTAAACCTTATCTTTTTTATGAATTTGAGTTTTGTTCCACATTGTTCTCCCACTCCATCCAGGATCTCCTGCACTGATCCCTTTCCAAGTGGTTGACAGTGGTAGCTGGGCAACATCTAGTTCTTCTGGTCTCATCATGGTCATATAGGCTGAACCTTGGACTAATTGTTTCCAGGCATCTTTGGTTTTCTTCATTCTTCTTTGCTCTGGATGAGAAGAGACCCATTGTTGCATCTAGATGGCCGCTTGCTAGCTTTTAAGACCCAAGTTGCTACTCAACAAAGTAGATTGTAGAACTATGCTTTTGTGTAGTGTGTTATGCCAATTGAGCTTGATGTCCCCTGTGACCATGGTCCCAAGCCCACAGGTCCAATATCTTGATCCATCAGGGTGGTTGACTATGCCTAAGAATTTATTGTAACTTTGCCCCCTGTTTGTTCTAGCTATATGGACATTCTTACAGCACATACAAATGCATATTTGTAATTGAACTTACTCCTGTGGCTTCCAGCCAAACAATAGATAGTAGAAATATCATATGCCAACCTTATATATGGTCATGGGCATATTCCCCTTTGCCTAGACATTAGGTAAGCTTTTTCCAAGTGGTCTTTGAGGAAGTTTCCTGAACAGCTAAAAAATATTCACATAGGTTGTTATTAGGTACTTTTGAGTTGGTTCCAAGTCAAAGTGATCCCATGTGATAGGGTTTTCAAGGCTGTAATTTTTATGGGAGCAGATTTCCAGGTCTTTCTCCCACAGAGCCACTGGGTAGGTTCAAACTACCAACCTTTCAGTTAGCAGCTTAGCACTTATGTGTTTGCTCCTATTAGATCCCTAGGTAAAAGCATTGTGTAGAGATTCTGCAATGATTACATTCTGTACATGTTGATTTTTTTTAACCATTTAATCACCATTTTAAGCCTTTAGAACAAGAATTCGAACCCATTTATTGCAGCTCAACCCCCTGCTTAGAATTAACGTTTCTACTCCAGATATACGGAATCAGAATATACATTTTAACAAGATCCCCCACCTACCTGTAAGAATCACCTGAGAGATGCAAATTCTCAACAGGGGGTCAAACTGGAATAAACCAGTTAGAAGCTCTGCTTTAGAACATGGAAGTAAATAGACAGTGTTTAAAGCCATTTTGCAAGTAGAATTTAGTGACTTAGATAAACCTCTTTGACCCTCCTGATTTGCGCTGGTCCTTCCTATGTGTACAGATGCCCTTCTCCTTCTAGTCCATCCCATTCTGTTTGTCTCCCGTATTTCAGAGCTATGAGAAGATATATTTATAGGCATACCTCAGAGATATTGTAGGTTTGGTTCCAGATCACCACAATCAAGTGAATATTGTAATAAAGTGAGTCACACAAATTTTTTGGTTTCCCAATGTATATAAAAATTATGTTTGGTGGTGCTGTGGGTAAGGCTTTTGTTTGTTAACCAAAAGGTCAGTGATTCGAACCCACCAGCTGTTCAGTGGGAGAAAGATGAGGCAGTCTGCTTATGTAAAGATTGACAGCCTTGGAAACACTATGGGAGTGGCTATGAGTTGGAGTCAATTTGATGACATTTTTTTTCTTTGAGTCTATTAAGTGTGCAATAAGCACTATGAAAAAGTTTGAACTATTGTTGAGAATTACCAAAATGTAACTCAGAGACGTGACGTGAGCACATGCTGTTGGGAAAATGGCACCAATAGACTTGCTTAATGCAGGGTTGCCACAAACTCATTTTATAAAAAGCACAGTAAAGCAAAAGGCAATAAAACAAGGTATGCCTGTACGCCTATGAACACTTTACTCCCTCCTACATTTCTTTCTCTGTTCCCATTCTCCCTCCCTAACCTGCCCATACCCACCCAGTTTGTTCATGAAAACAAAGCCACACTTGAAACCAATTTCCAAATGGCCTCAAAAAAGAATGTACCTTGAGAGTATTTCTGCAGTTAGCAAGCTGGAATGACACCAGACATTAAAATTCTTCTGGATATAAGGCATAATTAATTAAATCCCACCAGCTATCTATAGTATATGAGGACATTCAAAAACTTCTTAAAAGTCCATTTTGTGACAGGTTAGCTTCTATTTCCCCAGTTGATCATTAACAGGTTGTTTGTGTTGTTGTTATTGTGCCATAGAGTCAGACCCGACTCATAGCGACCCCTCCTTGGGTTTCCAAGACGGTATCACTACAGAAGCAGATTGCCCAATCTTTCTTCCGAGGAATGGCTGGTGGGTTTGAACCGCCAGCCTTCTGATTAGTAGTCAGGTGCCTTAGGCACTACGCTACCAGGCTTTATTTCATCATGATTGTTGTCACACACATTTAAATACAATTTCTACCTTTCATTTGTTTCCTGTGTTTATACAGGATATGGAATTTGTGTTTACTTATGTAATTTAGCAATTATAACCATAACAGTTCTCATATCTGTATGAACCATTACACATTTCGATAAAATTTTTGGAGCAATTTGAACAGTAAAGAATTGATGTTTTTCTAAAGAGCAAATAGAGCTGATAGACAAGTGTTCTGACTTTGGTAATATCGTGTGTATCTCCTTTTACATTCTTACCAACTACTTTGAAGTCTTATCTTTTAAATTCTCCAGGTCCTGCTGGTGATAGCCCCCTGGAACTGAGTGAGATCCCTGATGCCAGATGCCAGATTTATAGATACGGTTACTTTAAAGCCACCATCACAATCGTAGGTAAGGCTAAGAGCAGACAATCGTAGGTAAAGCTAAGAGCAGCAGGGGTAGGGTGTGAGAATCCATTTAAGGCTAACTCAGGAGAGTAGGCATGGAGAGCACAGGCCCCCCCTGCCTGTCAGGAAATGCCATGCCACCTTAGTGTGTGGGTTTCCACCTGCCTATCCGGGCCTTCCTTGGACACCTTGGTAGAAGTGGCCTTTTGTAAAGTGCAGGGATATAATGAGCCTGCACTGGACCTGGCCCTAGCCCTCTGCCTCTTAGCAATGTGGATGAATATAGGGGTTGAAGGAAGGCCAGTATTGAGTTCCTGCAACTTCTAGTCCCTCCCTCTACCTAATTTTCCCAAAGTCACACGTGTGTGTACAAAAGGGGAATGGAAAGGATCACCATGCAGGGTTGCACATTGTGTGCAGAAAAGACAGACGAGGTGGAAACCCCCACTGCTCCCTGGGGCGAGGATGCCTCCACCTGAGAAAGACCCTGAGCCTGGGACTGCATCCATCCCTGGAGCTCACCATTTCCTGAGCCACCTGTCCACAGGGGATGCTGCTTTCTAAGGCATACAGAGGCTTCGGGAATAAAAATCTAAAGACTAAAGACAGCTCAGTTTTACTTTTGAAAATGCTGCATGGACATATATCCAAAGCTAAGGGGATAGACTTCTGGATCTGGGGTGTTTCAAAATTTTGGCAAGAAGCATGTCTCTGTTTTACTGTTTGACTTTCTGCTTTGTTAAGGGGTTTTGTTTTATTTCTGTTGTGTTGTGATGTGCTTTCCCGTGGGGGTTATTTCGTTAGAGGGAATCCTAGAGGTAAACATCATCCAGATGACAGACGTCCTGACGCCAGTGCCACAGCCTGAAAACTCCCTGATGGACTTCATCGTGACATGCCAAGGGTCGTGAGTACACTGTCTCATGCAGAGGGATGGGTCAGTTTGAGGACCCCAAACCAGAGCAAAGGCCTTTACCACCACTCTCCCCTTCTAAGTGGATTTAAATACCTAATTAACCAGCAACATAGATCAACAAAGGACTTTTAAAGTGAGAGACGCTAGCAAGCATGCATTTGTTTGCTAGAATTGAGAGATAACCATTACCCTTTAACTGTTAAGTTGCATAATAATTATTATACTTGCTTTAAAATTTACTGTGCAGTAAGCACTTATCTATTATCACATTGAATCCTCACAATGGTTCTACAAGGGTCCTCATTTTAAAGATGAGGCAACTGAGGCACCCAGTGATTACAGAACCTGCCCATGAATAGAGGACAGGTTGCAGGCCTTCCGTCTGGCTCAGATACCTGCTCCTGAGTCCTTGCAGACTCCTTCTGAGTAGTCAGGAAGCTTCTGTGGAGTTGTGCCAGTGTTAACAGCAATGCCCGATAATCCTGTATCTCCTTAGGATTTACAAAGCTTTTTCTAATGCACTATATAATTTAATTTCATCATAACTATAATAAGGAGCCATTAGGTGGTACAGTGGTTACTGTACTCAGCTGCTAACCGAAAGGTTGGAGGTTCAAGTCCACCCAGAGGCACTTTGGAAGAAAAGCCAAAAAATCAGCCATTGAAAACCCTATGTCATACAGTTTTACCTAACACATAGGGGTTGCCATGAGTCAGAATCAACCTGACAGCAACTGGTTTTTTATATATATAATAAATGAAATATAAATAAATTAATATATAAATAATATACCAATTAGGAACTCTCATGGTGTAGTGGTTAAGGCATTTGGCTGCTAACCAAAAGGTCAGTGGTTCAAATCTACCTGTCGCTCTGTGGAAGAAAAATGAGACAGTCTGCTTCCACAAAGATTTATAGCCTTGGAAACCCAGTGGGGGTCACTTTGAGTTAGAACTGACTCCATGGTAGCAAGTTTTGTTTTTTGTATACCAATTAACTAATTAGTAATGCAGCAACACATTAACGAATTTACATAGAATATATAAATTAATGAAAAATTATATATGTATAATAAATTAATCAAAATAATGGGACACTATAAAAACATAACATTTTTGATAGAAAAGTATTTGTTTTGGTTACCTAGTGCTGCTCTGATAAGAATATAACACAAATGGGATGGCTTTAACAAACAAGAGTTTATTCTCTTACAAATTTGGAGGCTTTGAGTCCAAGTTCAAAGTGCCAGGCTCTAGGGGCTGAGTGAAAGCCCCTCAACCTTGGGCTTCGGCTCTGCCTCCTACTCCTGGTCCACTGAAGCTGGAGGCTTTTCTTCACTCAGACAGCTGCTGGCTGCTGAGGCTGACAAACCCAAGGTTGACAAGTAAAAAGGCCCAGTCCCAATGTTACCAAACATGGCAGGCCACTAATTCAAGTGCAGATGAAGTCCCAAGATCAGCAGGGCATGGCAGGCTGTTGAACAATGACTTGGCTACATGCAAGGTTCAAGCATCCCAAAAGGCTGGAGACCAATCCCAAAGCTTCTCCTTATATATGGGAAGCAGACCACATCCCTAAGGCAGCTACTCAGCTGCTCTCAGTAGATTCTACTATGGAGATGATTACCAGTCTCATCATGGGGAATACTACATCCAGCTGCCCAGCCACTCAACCAGGCCCAGCCAAGTTGACACAAAAACTTAACTACCACAGTATTCCCTTCTAAGAATTGCCTAGCCAGAGAGAGGAGCAGAATGAGGATGGCAGAAAATAGTTAAACGATGACATGGCTATGAATGAGAAGTTGAGCTGCTCCAAAAGGCCAGGACCTGTTGAGAAGAAAGACTGTTATCACCCAGACCCTCATCATACCCATATCTAAGCTTGTCTGTCCATTCAGGAGATTTGTCCAGAAGGTAAGTGGTAGCTGAGACAATCATGCCATGACCAGTGGTTATAAGGACAGTTGAGTCCAACAACTTTTCTTCAAATCCCAGCTCCACTTCTAACTGGGAGTGTGACCTTGGGCTAGTTACTTCTTCCCAAGCTGGTTTGTCACCTGTTAAACTGGGATATAATACCTTCCTCATAATGTCATTAAGATGAATAAACAGAATCATATAGACTCAATGCTTAGCACATGCTGTTGTTGTTCAGCGCCATTGAGTTGGCTCCGACTCAGTGACCCTATGTACAACAGAACAAAACGCTGCTGAGTCATACGCCATCCTCACAATCCCTACTATACTTGAGCCCATCGTTGCAGCTGCTGTGTCATGTCAGTCCACCTCGTTGAGACTTTTTTCACTGACCCTCCACTTTACCAAGTATGATATCCTTCTCCAGGGACTGGTCCCTTCTGACAACATGACCAAAGTAGGTGAGACAAAGTCTGGCTATTCTCACTTCCAAGGAGCATTCCAGTTGCACTTCCCTGGACAGATTTGTTTATGCTTAGCACACAGTAAACACTCAATAAACAGCTATGGTTGCTGATGTTATTACACCTCGCCAGGAAGCCAAACATGGCAGACTCTGGCATGTACTCACTCCTATCTTTGCTTAACACCTCTGAAGGTATCTGCCTCTTTGAGGATTCTAGGGAGCCAAAATGTAGAGGGAATGACTTGAGCTTTGCACTGCTTCCAATAACCCCTTGCCTTGGGGGAGATAATTTCTGCCTCCTGAAGTCCCAACGACTTGCCTTTCTGAAAACACAGGAAAAAGAGTAGTTCATCACCCAGGCTTATTTGAGAATAAATTTCATTTGGCCGAGTGAATGTTGTATGGTGTGAGTAACAAAAAAGTAGAATCCAATTTCATAGAATGTGATGACTTTCTCTATTTAAGCTGATATTCCATTCCTCTCTCTCCCATCTTCACTGTCCATGCCCTCAACCACCCTCCTATATCTCAGCATTCCCACGGAGGTCTGTACCATCATTTCTGACCCCACCTGCCAGCTTGCCCAGAGCTCAGTCTGCAACCCTGTGGACATGGACAATAATTGCTTGCTAACTGTGAGAAGAGCCTTCAGTGGATCTGGAACATACTGTCTGAACCTCACTCTGGGTGATGCTACGAGTCTGGCTGTCACGAGCTCCCTCATCTCCGTCCGTGGCAAAGGTGAGTTTGTATTGTGGTTATATAAGCAGTTTATATTGCAGGAAAAGTGTGTAGTAAAGCTAGTTAGGGCTTTGTTGTCAATGTTTAGTTTTATTTTACTGTAAAATTTGTGGAACTATTGTGAATAAGGATTTAATAACTGGCATTAAAATCCAACAGCAAACCTACCTACTTAGGAAAGTGATGAGAGAGATTCAGTGAAATAGTGGCCAAGGAAAAGCCTTTGATGAAAAAATTGGCTACAACCACAGACCAGTATCAGTGGAATATGATCACTGTGTCCTTGAGTAGATTTGTATTTTGAAGGGAGAGTGTAAAATCCATCATCAAAATAATCACAATGTTCTCCAATTAAACTATAATAAAGGGGAGGGTAATAACAGGATAACTTATATGGTTTTCATGAAAATTTGTCTGGGGAAAGGTATGAAGCCAAGAAGGGAAATGAGAAACAAAGTGGACTCATTCTAACTTGCTCTATGTCCTCTCTTTCTCCTTCCTAAATTCCACCAAGCATTATACTGAGACAGTAACAAACCAACTTATCTGTTCCTCAGGTTTTTACCGGAAAATCAATGTTTTACCCTCCTCGTGCTTGACAGAGACTGAGGGAAAATGTCAACAAAGCAAACTTAAGGAATTTCATTTTAAAATTTGCATTTACTGGTGACATCCAATTCCTCCTAACTACCCTGCAACTCTAACTGAATTTCAGTTATAACTGATTCTGTTGTAAGAGATTTCTTTTTCTTTTAGAAGAAGTGCTACATGGTGGAGGGGAATTGTGTAAGCATTGCAGCACTTACTTTTTTTCCCTTAATTTGAGTGGGAGCCCTGGTGGTATAGTGCCTAAAGTGTTTGACTGCTAGCCAGAAGACTGGTGGTTCAAACCTACCAGCCACTCTTTGGAAGGAAGATTGGGCAATCTACTTTCATAGTGATACCGCCTCAGAAACCTAAGGAGAGGTCGCTATGAGTCGGATCTGACTCCACAGCAGTGAGTTTGGTTTGATTTTTAATTTGAGTGTTGTCAGATACCATCTAATGATTAATTCACTTATAACCACTTTGGACTTGGTACTTACCTCACAAAGTAAAAGGTACTTAAACCCATTAACCATATAAAAGGCAGCTTCAAACCTAGTGAAAGCACACTGGTGGAGCAGTGGTGAAGGCATTCAGCTGTTAACCAAAAGATCAGTGGTTTGAATCCACTCCATGGGAGAAAGATAAGGCAATGTGTTTCTGTAAAGATTTACAGCCTTGGAAACCCTATGAGGCAGTTCTATTCTGTACTATAGGGTCACTATGAGTCGGGTTCAACTTGATACCAGTGTGTGGGTGAGTCAAACCTAGTGGAAAAAAAAAACAAACTTGAGTAATCATACATAGAATTATTTTTGTGAGGTCCTGTTACTATTTTCAGAGCTCTGATGGCATAGTGCCTAAGGCATTTGACAGCTAACCAGAAGGCTGGTGGTTCAAACCCACCAACCACTCTTGAAAAGGAAGGTTGGACAGTCTACTTCCGTAGTGATACTGCCTTAGAAACCCAAGGAGGGGTTGCTGTGAATTGGGATTGACTTGATGGCAGTGAGTTATTATTATTATTAAAATATTTTATTGTATTTTCAGGGAATGTTTACACAGCTTAGGTTCCCATTCAATAATCTGTACACAAATAGTTCGGTTACATTGGTTGTAGTCTTCACAATGCACATGCATTCTCATTATTTCATTCTGGTTGTTCTGATTCCACTAACCTGGATTCCCTGTCTCCTGACATTCTCATTTTTGTTTTGAAATAATTATTGACTATTTGGTCTCATATAGGTGATTTTTTAAAGGAGCATAGATAATACTTAGGGGTAATATTCATTATTTTTTGAGTCAGTTTGTTCTTTAGCTACAAGGGCTCATCATTGGTAAAATTCAAGGTGTAGATTTTTAAAAGAAATAAAGGTGGAGGAGAAGAGGAGCTTTAGCTTTATGCAGGGTGAGGTGGATTGAGGCATGGGGCAGAGAGTGAGGGAAGGCAAGGCAGAACGAGGCTGGTCAGAACCTCTGCCTCCCAATGAACATGAATCTTCAAAGTAGACATTTCCACAGGCTGCTGTGGTTGTCACTGTTCTGTGCTCTGCTGTCCAAAGATTTTTTATAATTACCTTTAGGGTAATAGCCCATTCTATGAAACTTCCTCAGTGCTGGCAAACCACTCTTCTCTTGGCTGGATTAGCTGTTCAGAGATTTGCTTTCCTTTAATTGTTTTGTAGTAAGCGATGTATGTTTATACTTAACCTAAGCCACTTTTGTGAACCAAATACGAAAACTCAGAAGGAGAGTTGTTAATCCAGTGCGGATTATAATTTGATAACTTTGGGCCAGCCCATTTAAGTTTTTTTTGGAGTTCCTGGGTGGTGCAAATGATTAACAAGCTCAGGTGGTAACTGAAAGGTTGGAGGTTCAAGTCTGCCCAGAGATACTTCAGAAGAAAGGCCTGTCAATCTAGCCCCCAAAAATCAGCCATTGAAAACCCTATGAACAGTCTACTCTGGCACACATGAGTTGCCATGAGCCAGAGTCCACATGACAGCAGCTGGCTAGGCTAGCATCAGGGTATGGGTTTTAGTCTATGCATAAGGGAAAGCCATTGGCAGATTTTAACCATGATCTGATTGGTGTTTTTAGATGCTCACTCCGACTACTGAGTGGAGAAAGGCACATTGGAGGTTAAGATTTAGGAGTACAGAGAAAACATAATCTCTGCCTTTATGACACTCTTACTCTATCTAGTAGGAGAGAACTATGTCTACAGAAATAATTGCAATGCAGTATGGTGGAGGCAAGTAGTAGAGAGACAAGCAAGAGCAGTGACACAAAGGGAGGCGTGACCCTGTGTGCTCATAGATGGCTTGGAAGGTGTCACAAAGAGGTGGGCACTTGAAGGAAGCCAGGGGAAGGGCATTCCCAGCAGGCAGAGAGATGGAAGTATGAAGGAGTTTGATGAGTATGGGCAGCTCCAAGGATTTTTAGCCTGGCTGGAAGGTAGGTGGGGAGAGTGTGAGATGAGGACAGAGGAAAGGGCAGGTACATCATGGAGGCCCTCATTACTTGGGCACTGCTGGGTCAGCTAAGACCTAAGCAGGCATCTTCAGGACATGACACGTCTCTCAGCATGTTCCAGACATGCTAACTCATTCTCTAAATGGAAGAAAGATAAGCTGGCCCAAAGACTATGTATTAATTAATGAAAAAGATTACTGAAAGGACAGAGGAAGTCATGTATCTTCTGAGATAGTTCCCTTCCTCATTTATTTAATTGCATTACAAGCAGCATGTACTCTGGGTGCTTAAGAGGTGTCTAATACGGTCTTGCTTCTGTTTTAAGATCCAGCATCCCCTTCAAGAATGGCAAACGGAGTCCTGATCTCTGTTGGCTGCTTGATGATATTTGTCACTGTGGTCACTGTCATGGTGTACAGGTAAGTTTCTGGTTCTCACATTTTTAATCACTTTCATATATCATCATAAATAAATAGCAGATTTCTGCACAGATATGCCATTTTTCTTTTAAGCATTTTGTGTGTAGGAGGAGCCTTTTTTTATTGAATGATGTATACCAGTTGTTGTTTTTATTGAATGATATATACCAGACCGGTCTATTTATTTTACACTGTGTGTGTTTTTTTTTAATCCTAAGAATACTACCAGACATCAGTAACTTTATCATACTGTGCCTATATAATGTTTAAAATATAATCTCAAATAATTGTATGCAGGCACATTTCTTGCATGAAGAAGACAAAATAAATGTTTTCATAAGTCCCCAGTGTCTTATAAGCCATAGATTAAGTTCAGTGGAATTGACCCTTTTGGTTCTTGGAATGTTAAATGTTGTGAAAAGCAATATACTCCAGCTGAAGATCTTTTAATAACAGCCCAACTCCTTGCTTTCAGAAAATACAAAGAATACAAACCAATAGAAAACAGTCCTGGGAAATTGGCCAAAGACAAAGGCCTGAATGCTCTCTTCAACCTTGCAAAGGCCACGTTCTCCCGTGGAAGCCAGGAGAAGGATCCACTGCTCAAGAACCAGCCAGGAATTGTTTAAATCTTCAACCTGAATTCTGACCAGCAGCATACTCTCCAGTGCCATTTATGTGAGCCATGCTGGAGTAGATGGCTGTTAACTTTTTTTCCTAAGGATTACTGTAAAATATATATTATGGCTAAGGGAGGTCTAATTCTCTTTGTAGGTTTAGAGAACATTTGAACATTTTATAGGCTTAGACACATTTTAAAGAAGTGGAGTTATATAACGTGAAGCCTCAGCTATGTTATATAACTGACAAAACCACTGAGCTGTGCTTCCTTTCATTTTTCTTTATGTTTTATTATAATGTCTTGGGTGTTTAGCAGATAGATATATTGTGTCCCAGAAGTAGGGGAGAATGTACTATTCATTAGGGGCTGACCTAGGCTAATGGAAGGGGAGGCCAGACACTTTCTAGCTTTCCATGTGACCATATGCATAAAACCAATATATTCCTGTCCATAATCTCATGTTCCAAGCTATCTGAGTCCTATTTCCATGAATATACATAAGTTCCCACTGACAGACCCAAATCTTTAGTGCGATGTGCACACTTGTTATATAGATGTGATCATTTTGGTTACAACTTCCCCAGTTTGGCTGTGTGAAGGAATAGTATTCATTCAATCACTTATTCTATGGACAATTATTTAGCACTTTCTGTATATCAGGAATAGCTCTGGTGGTACAGTGGCCAAGGCATTTGGCTGCTCACCAGAAGGTTGGCAGTTCGAACCCACCAGCCACACCACAGAAAATAGATGAGACAGTCTACTTCTGTAAAGATCTATAGTCTTGGAAACCCTGTGAGGCAGTTCTACTTTGTCCTAAAGGGTTGCTATCAGTTGGAATTGACTCGATAACAGGAGGTTTGGTCTATATACCAGGTACTATTATAGGTACCTGAGGAGCCCTGGTGGTGCAGTGCCTAAGGCATCTGGCTGCTAACCAGCAGGTTGGCGGTTCAAACCCACTAGCTGCTCAGTGGAAGGAAGTTGAGGCAATCTACTTCCATAAAGATTTACTGCCTTGGAAACCGAATGGGGATCACTATGAGTTAGAATCGACTTGATGGCAGTAGGTTTATGCTAGGGACTAGTCTCAGCCCTCAGAGAGTTGACAATCTTGTGTATATATCTGCACATTCTGGTGCACATATTTGAAATTCTGTATAATGATTTTCCAAAAGAGGAGGGCTTTGTTTTTCCTATTGGTTTCTCTATTTGAATAATTGTAGAAGTTTGATCAGAAGGATTTTTACCTTAACTTTTAGCTAAAAAAACTACCCTGTATCAAAGATGACATTCTTTTTCTCTCCTTTCTAAAAAATAAAGTATAAAAAAAGACAAGATTTTTGGCATTGAAATTATTTTTCAAGTTTGTTTCCTTATCCATTTTGTTTACAGTTTTTGGCACATTGAAAAGGTGTTTAACACTGCCCCATACAGCACTGACAATCTTGTAAGTATTTTATATTTAAGAATATATGTATACAGTTTCATATATGAATATATATAACCAGACCAATCTAAAATAAGAGATATTCTATGAGAAATTTTATGGACTCTTCAAACAGCCAATATTATATTTAAAATAAAAGCAGAGAAATTATTTTAGACAGGGATTGGTCAGCTTGTTCTATAAAGGGCCAGATAGTAAATATTTTAGGTTTTGTGAGCCATATAATCTCTAACCCAAATATTCAACTTCATTGTTGCAGCGTGAAGGCAGCCATGGGCAATATATAAATGAAAGAGCATGGCCGTATTCAGGTCCAACCATATTTCTAAACAAGATGGACCAGGTTTGGCCCATGGGCTGTGTGGTTTGCAGACATGTGTTCTAGATTAAAAGAGTCTAAATAGACAAAGCAGCCAAATGCAGTTTGGAAACTTAGATTGGATCCGGGCTTGAAAACAAACAAATAAAACCAGCTATGAGAGATACTCTTGGAACAACAGGGAGAATTTAAATATGTACTGGATACCAGATGATACTATAAAATTGTTAATTTTCCCAAGGGTGGTGAAGGTACTGTGGAGACCAGCAGTTAGTCCTTCACTTCCTGGACGGCCTAGAGCCCCCAAAAGAAGCTATTTTGGTGGTTATAACTGGGATGCTACTGGCATCTGGTAGAGGCTAGGGATGCTGATAAACATCCTACATGCACAAGACAGTACCCCGGCAACCAAGAATTATTTGGCCCAAGGTATCAGGCACCATGCTGTAGACTAACTGAAGAAGGTCTGGGTTTGAATGTAAAGACAGAAGACTTGGATTTCAGTCTAGCCCTGCCACTTAAAGCTGAGTCACTCTGGACGATTCATTTAACCTTTCTTGAGCCTCAGTCTTCTCACCTGAAAAATAGGTATAATAGTCCCTCCCTGTGGTAGGTAAGGTTATGTGTCAACTTGGCTGGGCCTGGTTGAGTGGCTGGGCAGCTAGATGTAAGTTATTCCCCAGGGTGAGATTGGCAATCAGTTCCATGGTGGAATCTACTGGAGCAGCTGAGTAGCTACTTTAGGCATGTGGACTGCTTCCAGTATATAAGCAGCAGCTTTGAGGAAAGTCTCCAGCTCTTTGGCACACTTGAACTCTGCATGTAGCCAGGTCATCGTTCAACAGCCTGCCATGTCCTGCCTGTCTTGGGACTTCTTCTGGACTTGAATTAGTGGCCTGCTGTGTTGTTTGATAACATTACAACTGTGCCTTTTTACTTGTCGACCTTGGGTTTGTCAGCCTCAGCAGCCAGCAGCTGTCTGAGTGGAGAAATGCCTCTAGCTCAGTCAGTAGAGCAAGAGACCAGCATGAGAGACAGCAGGAGCAGAGCCCAGAGACTGGCGTGAGAGACGGGAGGAGCAGAGCCGAGAGAACCAGCATGAGACAGCAACAGTCTTACCAGCCCATGGAAAAGAAAGCTTGATGCCTTTGGTTAGGCAGCTTACTGGCAGAGTGAGTTGCCTTTGGGATTAATTGGTAGAAAAGACTGGCATGAAATGGAGTAGCAGGTTGGCTGCCCATGGAGCAAGAAAGCTGAGTGTTTTTAGGGCAGGAAGATTTTCTGCAGAGTGGGTTGCCTTCAGCATTAATCGGCAGCAGAGAGACCAAGGAAATGGAAGCAGAGCTGCCTCAGCCTGAAAGGGTAGGACCATGGCCTTTGGGGGTGGAACCACTACAGCCCCCTGGGTTTCAGAGCCAGACTTTCACCAACTTGGTTTTGGAGTGTGGGGTTGCTTGTTCATGTGAGCTAGTGGGATGGACCCATAGCCACTGCCCAAGAGTGAGGAGGTGGGGCTGTCATGCCCAAGAGGGAGAGGAACCACCCGCCAGGCCAAGGGGGTGAGGTCATCACTCAGGAACTAGGGGACTGGAGCCACCCGGTGGAGAAGACCTGTACAGATCCCACCCATTGAAGATCTGTACAGGTGCTGCAGTGTAGTAAATTACTTAGTGTGGCTTTTCTACCTATAAGTCTTTGTAAACTCCAAGGTGGGATTTGCTATGAGTGACCGAGGAGCTCCTGATTGCTAAAGTTGTCCACGTGGAGTATTTCTATTGGGAGTGGCACAAAACAATGTTCTGGGAGGTTCCCACTCTCTCTCAGGTGCTTAGAGTTCTGATGCTATAATTGGCTAGTTTGGCCACTCTTGCAGGCTCAAAAGGAGGCCTCCTAGAGGCAGAACTCTCTCTGACTGCTGGTTGAGGAAGATGTGCTCCTGAAAGAGACACGTGCTGCTGGAAAAGAGATGCAAGAGACACTCATTGCTGAGTAACACATCGAGGGACACTCACTGTTGGGAGAGAGACTGTGAGAGAATGTTAGGAGAGAGACTGTGGGCTGGGAGAGAGACTGAGCATTTTTCCTGAACTTGAATTGTAGCCTGGTGCTTCCCTAATAAACCCCATAATCTGTGAATTCTGTGTGGCCACTGCAGTGACTTATCGAACCCAGAAGAGAGGTGGTAGGTGCTTTGGGAGGAACAGTTGGTGAAAGGGCTGGAGGGAGGCAGCATGTCTGGCCTTGCAGTAATAGGCCTTGGGTTACTGATAGTGATTCTGTCTTCCTCTTGTGCAGTTAGAGGAGGTCAGGAGATGCGGCCTCCTTGCCCTTTTTGCAGGTGCCAAGTTGACAAGGGGTAGAATTATGGTGGTTATGTTTGTGTGTTAACTTGGCTGGGCCTGGTTGAGTGGTTGAGCAGCTGGTGATAGTTATTGCCCATGATGAGACTGGCAATCAACTCCATGGTGGGATCTACCACAAGCAGCTGAGTAGCTGCTTTGGGTATGTGGTTCGCTTCCCATATATAAGCAGCAGCTTTGGGAATGGTGTCTAGCTTATGGCACGCTTGAACCCTGCATGTACCCGTGTCATTGTTCAGCAGCCTGCCATGCTCTGCTGACCTTGGGACTTACAATGGACTTAAAGTAATGGCCTGCCATGTGGTTTGGTAACATCGGGACTGTGCCTTTTTACTTGTCAACCTTGGGTTTTTCAGCCTCAGCAGCCAGCAACTGTCTGAGTGAAGAATTGCCTCTAGCTCCAGTGGGCCAGGAGCAGGAGGCAGAGCTGGACCCCAAGTTTGAGAGGCTTTCCCCAAGCCCCTAGAGCCTCGCACTTTGAACTTGGACTTAAAGCCTCCAAACTGTGAGAGAATAAACTCCTGTTTGTTCCATCCCATTTGTGGTATATTTCCTGTCAGAGTAGCAATAGGTAACCAGAACATACCCCAAGTTTCTATTTCATTATTCTGGGGAAGGGATCCATGATTGGGAGTTCCCAAGAGTTTCTAGGTGATGTTGATAAATGAGCTGATCCCAATGCTTTCAGAAATACTGGTCTTGAAACCCACTCTTCCTTCTCATATCAACAGAGGGTAGCAGACAGCTAATACAAAGTCATTCATCAAGAACTAAAACCAAGAATCAAACTCACTGCCATGGAGTGGATCCTGACTCATAGTGTCCCCGCCTTGGGTTTCTGAGGTGGTATCTCTATGGCTTTGAACCAGTTTATTCTG